TAATTATGTTTTTTTAATTAGTTTTTCTTCTTTGACAATTTCACACGTGTAACATAGTGTATTTTCGTCATTTTCACCCACCTTTCATCCCTCTCCCACTGCTGCTGAACCAACAAGTTGTCCCTACTCCTTTTCACAGCTGTTGGTTTTTCTTTTGTGACCTGCTGAGTTAGAGTTACTCGCGTAAACATGGGTGGGGGTTGTTCACTGGAACATCAGTCCTACACCCCTGAAAAAAATTATCCCTCCTCCCCAGGAACAGTTAACAACCAGTAGCTCCTTCGGGAGGAGAGGCACCTTGTGAGCTCCTCCCCCATTAATTATGCTTTACAATGATGATTTTTAAAAATATTTTTTTTATTATTTTTATTTTGTGTGTATGAGCGTATTGCCTCCATTTGTAAGTGCACCTACATCGTGCAATTTCCATGGAGGTCAGAAGAAAACATCAGATTCCCCTAGAACTGGAGTTACTGACAGTTGTTAGCCACCATGTGGGTGCTGGGAATCAAACCTGGGTCCTCTGCAAGAGTGGCCAGTACTCTTAACCACTGAGCCATCTCTCCAGCCCCTACGATAATTTTTTTTTTTAATTTGGGGGGTTTTGTTTTGTTTGTTTGTGTTTGAGACAGGGTCTCTCTGTTACCCCAGCTGGCCTAGAACTCTCTACTCTCTTTGTAGACCAGGCTGGCCTCAATCTTAGATCTGCCTGCCTCTGCTTCCCGAGTGTAGGGATTAAAGGTGTGTGCCACAATGCCTGGCTTATTTTATATATATATATTTTTTTTTTTTAAAGGATGACAAAAATAATAGATAAAAACAAAGATGACTTAAATCCTTTTAATGCTTTGTAAACTGTCTTGATCAGTTTTGTTAATAAACTATTATTAATGGCTTTTAAAATTTTTTTGGTGAAGCATTTATGTGACTGATAAGCCAGAAGTGAAAATACCATTAAAATTTTTGAGAATAATATTAAATATTCAGAAAACACTTTACCAGAAAAGAAAGATGCCTCGGTGATGGAATCACTGGGGATTTCCACACTGTTTTGTACATCTGTATTGTCTAACAACTCTGTAGCAAGCTCTTTAGAAAAAAATTTGGTTTTTTAATTGTGTGTGTGTACATGTGTTTGTTTTTAAAAATATTTTAAATATTTTATTTATTTAAAAAATACATGTAGTGTCTGCATGTATATTAAGTGCACCCATGTTGTGCAATGCCCATGGAGGTCAGAAGAGGGCATTGGATTCCCCTGGAACTGGAGTTACAGATGGTTGTTAGCCAACCCAAGTCCTCTGCAAGAGCAGCTGGTGCTCTTAACCACTGAGTCATCTCTCCAGCCCCACGTGTGTGTTTAATCATATGGATTTTTCAACATAGCCGGTGTTCATACACTTAAAGGGGCAATTTTGCCTCACTGGAAGTAAAGACTATTTTGAATATTTAGGTGGAACTAAGATGAAGTAGCACTTTCTTTCTGCCTATATAACTGAAAAAGCGTTCAGATTTCTAGTGAATTTTATCTGGAGCAAATATTCCCTTTGTAAATCTTGAGTTGATCTTATAGGTGGCCTCCTGAAATGTACTATTTTATTGCTGTGCATGTGTTGGCTGGGTGCCTGACCTCCCAGGTTACAAACACCAACAGTAGATCCCCATTCTTAAAGAAAATAACACCCTCCCCCCAAAAAATCACCTTAGAAAGTACAAGTTAGACATTGCAAACGTTACTAATAAATTACCTACCGGTATTCACGCTGGACAGCAATAACTTGCCATGTTAATAGTAAGTCTGTAAAACTGTCCTACTGTTTACAAAGACAGTGACTCTTTTCCAAGTTCCAGAGGAGAAGCAGTGTTGTTCTCTGTTATTACAAAACAGGAGTGTTAGAGATACTCTGTTTCTTTGTTAAATTTACTCCGTCCAAATATAGAGGTTAAAGATGGGGGCAGAACATTTATGTATAGAGTATCAACTCACACCAAGTTCTTATTATACTTGAGATTCTCTGTTTTGGAAGTCAGTTACATACTAAAATAACATGTCAAACAGTCTAAAATAGATTACACTGAGTATCGAATGATTAATCCCAACAAATTTCTCTAAAATTTAGAATAACTGTGATTTGGATGTTCTATGCAGGAAGGTTGGATCTTGGGGGAAAATACATGATTTAATTAAGCAAGAATAAAACAGAAGAGGTTAGGAGGGAAAAGGGAAGCCAGGGAGGGAAGTCCTCCAGGCACGAAATGGACCCAAGAACAATGTAGAGACACTGGCGATGTAATTAGGAGGCCGTTTTGGAACAGATGGTTTATATGAGGTAGTGATTTTCAAATTATGCTCTGATGGGTCCCCCCAGGGGCTGGTCAGCAAGGGGTTGAGGCAGCCAGCTGTTGAAGTCCTTGAGCAAGGGGTGCTGCAGGTTTGTGAGAAAGTGATCTGACAGCATCCACAGGTCCACCAGTGTGTCAGCTGGCTGGCATGAGCCCAGTGCGTCGCTGGCCATGAGATTCGTGATTGTGTGATTGTGTGTGTGTGTGTGTGTGTGTGTGTGTGTGTGTGTGTGTGTGTGTAGGTCGGAGGAAATCTTACAGGAGTCTATTCTCTTCTTTCACTGTGTAGGTCCCTGGGGCCAAGCTCAGGTCCTCAGGCTTAGAAGCAGGTACCTTTACCCACTGAACCATCTCCCTGGCCCTGGCCATGAGATTGGAAACAAAGCAGGAAATAGTTGTATCTTCTCTCCACGAGAAGGGTCAACAGGCTTGAGCATGGATTGGAGGAATGTGCTATCAGGGGCCAGAGCCTGGGCTACATAGCAAGACCTACCCCCATCTCAAAAAAAAAGAAAGATTAACACCACAGTGGCAGAACCTGACAGAGCAGCGTACTGGTCAAGGATAACCAAGTCATGTTGGTAATATATGCCTTTGATAGAACATGTTGACACTGCGTCTTGATCTCTGTGTGTCTCCTCCACAAAACCCATACTTCTGTCTAATCAAGAGAAAGCATCCTACCATATACTCCAACCTATCGTAATGTCCTAGCACCAAGGAAAGTGTGAAGTGTACCGCCCAAGAGCGGGCCAGGAGGTATCTGAATGCAGGGTGCTGTACTGGGAGCCCAGAACAGAAAAGGAAGGCATGTGTTGCCTGCGTGTAGTAAGTGCACCCGTGTTGTGCAATGCTGTGGAGGACAGAAGAGGCTGCCGGATCCCCTGGAACTGGAGTTACGGGCAGTTGTTAGCTGCCATGTGGGTGCTGGGATTCAAACCTGGGTCTTCTGCAAGAACAGTCAGTGTTCTTAACTGCTGAGCCACATCTCCAGCCCCCAAAAGAACTATTCTAAACAACACCCACAAATGAGTTTTAAACAATACTCAATAAAGAAAATGCTGTCATACACTCTGTACAACAAAATGCTAGTAAACACTTGAAAAATTTAAATTTACTCGCATTCAGAAACGTTATTTTCTTATTTAGCTGGCACATTTTTAAAGAAATATATGGTTTGAATATACAAGAATGTAAAATAAACCTTCTCTCTGGAGCTGCTTTATTTTGTGATAGGTGAAGATTTGTGTGTCCTTTTAACCAACTAGCATGACAGTCCCAGGAGATGACATTTCAGAGATGTTTCCCAATGTTGTGTGTAAGAGCAAATACTCGATACTAACCCAAGCTTAGAAATACCAGATCGTGAGAATCTCAGAGACGTTGGGAATAAAACTGTTGAGTGGTATTGAGGATAAATATTCCATGTTCTAGGATGTGACATGTTTGTTTGTTTGGTTATAGCTCTTGAATGTAGAATTTATATGTTTGGATATAGCTCTTGAATGTAGAATTTGCTGATCTTCATCAGTGACTTAAACATTTTATAAGTGCTTAGAGTTATTCTAAAATATATATTTGAGATCCACATACATGCATACAATGTATTTTTATCATATCCACCGTGAACTCTTTCCTCTGATTCCGCCAATCCTCCTCCCAGGCTTAGAGGTTTGGTTTTTGCCAAGGTTTTGTGGAGTTTTTGTTGTTGCTGCAGCTGTTTTGTTGTTGTTGTTGTTGTTGTTGTTGTTTTGGTTTGGTTTAGTTCACTTGTTGTTGTTGTTGTTTGAGACAAGTTCTCACTATGTAGCCCTGGCTGGCCTGGATTTCACTATGTACACCAGACTGGCTTTGAACTCACAGAGATGAGTTCTGCCTCTGCCTCCTGAGTGCTAGGACCAAAAACATGCTCTACCACACCCAGAGCTATTTTAAAGCATATCCTAATTAATATCAAATACTGTTTCATAATTCTGTCATATGAGTAGAGGTCAGTGCTGTTTAAGCTGGTAGTTTGAAGCAGGAAGTTTTCTTTACCACAACTCTGTGTGTGTGTGTGTGTGTGTGTGTGTGTGTGTGTGTGTGTGTTGGGTTTGCTGCATGCAGATAAAAGAATACCATTTGTGTACAATAAAAAAAAATGCTGGGTACAGTGTCATATACCTTGAGCAGCACTCGGGAGGCAGAAGCCGGTGGATTTCTGTGAGTTCAAGGCCAGCCTGTTCTATATAACAAGTTCCAAGCCAGCTGGGGCTACAGGGAGCCCCTATCTCAAAAAGACCAAAAAAATTTAGACGGGATTCTCTCTGACTGGTAGGGTTAGGGCACTGGGTTTTTACTTTATTTTTTGTGATTTCCTACATTTTTCGAGTGTTCTTCTAAAAACCACAGAACATTTTTTGGTGATGAGAAAAAAAGACTTTTAAAGTTCGTTTTTCTTTTTTCCAAAAAGCAAATATTTCATTTCCATAAACTGCTATCTAAAGTATCAGAGTGATCTTTTTGTTTAAAAGTATATTTTTACTTTCTTCTCAGAGTGGATTTCATTTTTATGTGAATCCTTATTCATACGAATTTCCTGTTAAATTTTCTTGAGCTGTGAAAAGCATCATTGTGTTGAATTAATCTACTTTTTACTTTCAGACTGGTGTTTGGAATGCTCTATCCAGCATATTATTCATACAAAGCTGTGAAGACAAAAAATGTGAAGGAATATGTAAGTACAGGTTTTCAGTAATTAATTCTCATTCATTGTATCAACAATACACAAGCCTAAGAAAACTGCTGTTCTTTTAGAGAGAGCTACACTAACGTTTTAGGTTAAAAGGTGATAAGACTGTTGTCATAAAAATAATTACTTTAGAAGCCAGGCATGGTGGCCCACCCCTGTAGTCCCAGCACTGAGGCGGAGGCAGGCAGATCTCTATGAGTTCAAGGCCAGCCTGGTCTACATAGTGAATTCCAGGCCAGCTGGAGCTGCAAGGAGACCTTGTTTCAAAAAGGCCAAAAAAAAAAAAAAAAATTTACCTTAAAAACTAAATTTAGGGGCTAGAGGCATGGCTAACAGTTAAGAGCACTGGCTGCTCTTGCAGAGGACTCAGGTTCGGTTCCCAGCACCCACATGGCAGCTCACAACCTCCTGTAGCAGCTCCAGTTCCAAGGACTCTGACATCTTCTTCTGGCCTCCGCAGGCATTGCACTACATGGGTGCACTTACATACATGCAGGCAAAACACTCATGCACATAAAAATAAATAAAGTATTTTTTAAACTAACTTTGAAGACAGCCAACGGAGAAACTTTAAATAGACTTCACTGTCCCTTGGCATCTAAAGGGTACAGCACTCTTGAGGACTGATTGGCTGGCTTCTCACTGAGTCTGTGAGTGCCAGTACAATAAGGTTTGTTTGACTTTGGGGAAAAGGTCATGGTTTCCTTGCCTTCTGAATTTACAGGAATCCGAGAACAGCTCTTTTCATGGGTCTTTTCTCAGTTTTGATTGATGAGCACGCTGCTAGTGCATCACTATTGACAACTGCAGTCTTATATCAAATCTTATAATGGTGTGTGTGTGTGTGTGTGTGTGTTCACATATATGTAGATATACCTGTGTGAACATGTGTGTGGAAGCCAGCAGTCAATGTACGATATCTTCCTAGTCATTATTATTTGAGACCCAGTCTCTGGGGGAAACTAGAGCTAACCAGTTCAGTTGGGCTAGCTAGTCAGTGAGCTGAGGGATTGATTCTCTGGCAAAGCCTCCCAGCATTGGGGTTACAAGTATGTACCACACTGTCCAGCAAGCACTTTATGTGGAGTCTGGAGATCCATACTCACATCCTTAGACTTCAAGTTTCACTCAAGTCATCTCTCTAGCCCCATGATTTTGTAGGGCATTTTTTGTTCTGTTCTGTCCTGGTTTGGTTAGGTTTCGTTTTTGGAGACAAGCTCGCCCTGTAGCCCCAACTGGCCTGGAACTTGCTATGCAGACCAGGCTGGCCTTGATCTCACAGAGATCTACCTGCCTCTGCCTCCCGAGGGCAGGGATTAAAGGCATGCACCACCATGCCTGCCTTGATTTTGTTTGGGTTTTTTTTGTTGTTGTTGTTTGGTTGGTTGGTTCTGCTTTTATTTTTTAATATTTTATTATTTTTATGTTATGTGTATATATGTATTGCCTGCATGTAGGTAAGTGCGCCCGTGCAATGCCTGCGGAGGTCAGAAGAGGCTGTCAGATCCCCTGGGACTGGAGTTACGGACAGTTGTTAGCTGTCATGTGGGTGCTGAGATTCGAACCTGTGTCTTCTGCAAGAACAACCAGTGTTCTTAACCGCTGAGTCCCTGTTTTTAATTCTCAAGTGTTTCTTCTCCCTTTAATCACTCTTCATAGTCCCCACTCTTTTTTTTCCTTTCATTTTCCTCTTTTCCCAATCCAAATCATTCTCTCCAATAAAAAATGCCCTTCCTCAGCTTTGAGTCAGGCATAGTTTACTTTTTCGACGGAATAAATTTTCTGAGCATCACAAATGTGTACCTTGATGTTCAAATAGGATAAGCAGCCAGTTCTAAGGGGACTCACACCAGTAACTGTGGAGAGAGAGAGAGAGAGAGAGAGAGAGAGAGAGAATGACACTTATAAGCTAGACTATCTATTAGACTGTCTATTTCAAAATGAGCAGTCTAGCTCCCATCAATCCAAAGTAAAACCCAGACCCATCAGGCCTTGACTCCTCACTCACCCCTACCTCCTTCCAGCCTCTTTCTGTAATTGGAATTGTGCAATAATTTTTTTGCCTGGCAGGTTTTCTAGGTTCATCCATGTCATGTGTGTCATTTCATTCTTTTTCATGGCTGAACAGTGTTCCATTGTACTGATAAACAAAACTAGATTGTCTCTCTGCTAACAGACCTGTGGATTGTTCTGGCTGCTATGAAGTACGCTGCCTCAGACGTGCACACGTGACCTTCTGTTTTGTACCCATTCTTCTTCACTTTCATTCCTCGTAAGGGATTTTGGTGGCAGCCTTGTCCTCAAACTCATCAGCCAATTAGAAGTCCAACTGTGATTCTTTACAGTCTGTGTTTTCAGGAATGTGAGGTTGCACTGAGCCATTGATTGAAACTTTAATAATTAACCTATTGAGCTTTCATGGTCATCTTTCTTTTATATAAAACCAAATTTTATAATGAAATATATATATGTATGTATGTATACACACATCAGTTATAAGGGTAAAATACATTTATCAGAAGTAAAGAAGTTATGTAGATGAATTCTGTAATTTTATGATACAGATCTCTGGGATCTAGGATTAGGCAAAACTTTAATAATTAACCTATTGAGCTTTCATGGTCATCTTTCTTTTATATAAAACCAAATTTTATAATGAAATATATATATGTATGTATGTATACACACATCAGTTATAAGGGTAAAATACATTTATCAGAAGTAAAGAAGTTATGTAGATGAATTCTGTAATTTTATGATACAGATCTCTGGGATCTAGGATTAGGCAAATAATCTTCGGACATGGAACCACATTAACTCATACTAATATGAATTCATTTTATATATGGATTGAAGGGACAGATTTCAATATAGTCTATAAACAGTATTTCATGTTCTGTTGTACAGCGCTGGGGTATATTAGTTTTTAAAACAACACTCTTACCAGCATTTCTCCAGCTGCCTGTGGTGAAGGGTCTGTTTGGATTCCCTTTGTTTTTGTTGGTTGGTTTGGTTTTTTTTCTTTGTTCTGTTCTGTTCTGTTCTGTTTTGTAGTGCTCATTTTCTTTCTCCTAGAAGTCCTTAGCTATTACTTTTGTAAAAAATAAAATGAAACACAAGTCACTAGAAAAATAAAATACTGGAAGACACAGGAAGTACACCAACTTCTTTATTATTCATTTCCATAGACAGGAAACACTGTCAATTTTAGCACTTTTAGCAACACTGCAACACTTCTCAGCCTTGCACAATTCCCTAGACAACACTGCCCTACTGGTAATACTTTAATTGGAATTCTCTTTTGAATAGTAAAATCATGAATCATCCATCATTTCCCAGACACCATGGAAGTGCGAGCCGTGAGGTACATGACTGAGCAGAGCTTAGTAAGTGTGAAGTTCTTCCCTGTTTGGAATGCCTATGATACTTTCATTTAATGAGATATTTTTCTGAATTTCATTAACTCTGCAGATGAAGTGCTGGGTGATACCTCTCTCAACATCAGGCTCATTTTACCCATAAAGCATTCCAGAGCCAGGTGAGGTAATGCATGCCTGTAAATTCCAGCACTCTGGAGGATGAAGCAGGAGGATCACTGGGGGGTTGAGGTTAGCCTGGGCTACATGGTGAGTGCCAGGACAACCTGGGCTACAGAATGAAGAGACCCTCTCCTGGATGGATGGATGGATGGATGGATGGATGGATGGATGGATGGATGGATGGATGATAGATAGATAGATAGATAGATAGATAGATAGATAGGCTAGGTGGGTCAGAATATAAAAATATTGAATTAATTGTAATAAAAAACAAATGGTCCTATACATGTAAATGAATGCAAAAAGGTAAGAAAAATCATTATTTAGAGGTTAGACTGAGAACTGTTTTAAAAAGATAAATCCCATGGCCTCAAGTAGCCTAGGATGGCCGCAGAGTCACCATGTACCTGAAGCTGTCCTTGAACTCCTGAGCCTCCTGCTTCCCCTTTCCACATGTGGGGATCACAGGTGCACCACTACATCCAGCTCTACTTAAAAACGTGTTGATGCGCTTATTCTCTTAACACCAAACTCTGATTTTTATTGCTGAATTACTTTGAAGACGTAAGACAAAGATTGTATACTTCTGAAATTTTGATTCTTCATAAGCAAAAAAAAATGTACACGCACAAGAGAATTCATTAACAGTCAACTTGAGGAAAACTAAACTGTGTTGACATACATACATGTAGTATATGTTCATGTAATTAAATATATACTTGGCATGTTGCTTTATGAAGTTTTAATTTTGTTCAAGTGTTTTTTAGCAGGTCAGTAGCCTTTTTTTTTTTTTTTTTGCAGTTCTGGAAATTGAATCCAGGGCCCCATTCGTGGTAGGCAAGTACTCTGCGCCCTTAGCCCTTGTACAGTTGTTTTAAAGGGATAACTCATTATTAATAATTGTCATTATTTGCATGTAATTTTGCTCTAATATTGGAACTCAAGGGGAGAAAATAGTTTTCTTAGGCAAGCATGGTGGTGCACACCTTTAATTCCCACACTTGGGAGGAAAAGGCAGGTGGATCTCTGTGAGCTCCAGGCCAGCCAGCGCTTGTGAGACTGATTCAAAAAAAAAAGTTTTCTTAATCATTATTTTGGAAAACTTTGGTAATAAATAAAGATAAATTAGGGGACAGAAAGGCAGCAGCTGGAACTGGTTGGAGCTGGTTTAATTAATGCACGATTAACACTCCGTCTTCACACTTCTTCACAAATAAAATGAGGGGCAAAACCAAAACTGAACGGACATGGAATCAGGATAGACACCTACCTTTTATTGCAAAATATAATACAGCACTTAAGACTTGCGTAACAGCAGAGTTTTACAAACTAAGTTGAAATGTTTTCTTGAGACAATATCTTACATGTATATTTAATTCCTGCCAGTTTCAATGCACTTTCACATGTCTTTTTTTATTGGTGTTCTGCCACATCGCCACACTGTTCCAGACTTAAAGTGACAGCCCTAGAGGTCAGAAATCTAAAAGGGGTGCACCTGGCTGGGTTCCACTGGAGGCTTAGTCTGAGGGAAGATCTGCCCGGGTGTCTTCAGCTTCTGCCGGCTGCCCACATTCCTGGCCTTCAAGCTCCATTCCTCTGTCCTCACAGCCAACAGCTCAGCTCAACCTTTGGCTGCTGCCAGCTCTGGGCTTTTCTTCTGCCCTTCTCTTCCCCTTGTGTGGACCTTTAAGAATGTCTTGGGCCCACTCTGTTAATCCAGGCAAGGCTCCTGCCACCCTCCCAGGGTGGTCTGATTCCTAGCTGTGCTGATTAGTTTTTTTGTCAAACTAGAGTCATTTGGGAAGAGGGAACCTTTAGTGAGGAATTTCCTCCATCAGACTGGCCTGTGGGCACGTCTACAGGCATTTTATTGCTTGCTAATTGGTGTAGGAGGGCATAGCCCACTGTGGCTGTACCATCCCTGGGCAGGTAGGCTTGAATTGTCTAAGAAAGGTAGCTGAACAAGCCAGGAGGAGCAGGCCAGTGAGCACGCTCCTGCGTGGTTCTTGCTTCAGTTCCTGCCTGCAGGTCATGCCCTGAGTTCCTACCTGACTTCCCTCAAGGGCAGACAGTACCTTGGAAGTGTAAGATGAAATAAACCCTTTTCTCCCCATTTTGTTTTTTGTCAGTATTTTATCACAGCAACAAAAAGCAAACTAGAACAGCAGCCTTAACTCCATTGGCATCCTTACTCTCTCTGTAATCTAACATACTGTTTCCGGGGATTAAGCCTTTGACCTGTTCCCTGAGAAGGAAGCATTATTCTGCCTTCCCCAGTAATAGCCCAGTGCAACCTTATCAAATCGACAAAGAAAACAGTTCGGTATTACACACTTCTCAGAGAAGTCAGTTTACCTGTTGAGAGGCACATGGATCACTGTACAAGCAGGATCGATACCAGACTAGACCTCTTCTTCTTTCTGTTCCATAGTACTCCCTTTAGAAACAGAGCTGAGAATCTGGTTTCACAGAAACAGTGAGGTGGCTTCCACGCTGAATATACCCATACTTCATTAGATCTTCTGGGAACCACGGTGGTTTGGGTATCTTGTAGCAAGGGCGGTGAGACAGGACCCCTTAAATCTCCAAGTCAGCTGAACAGAAAGGTTGAAAATGAAATTCAAAGTTTTGAAAGTTCTTTTAAAGAAAAGTCTTGACAGTCCTTTAAGTATTTCCTTACTGACAAAAATTTTAATATAATTTTCTTATTCTTGCCTCTCAAAAGAGGTTGAATTTCACCAAACTTGGCCATTCAATTTTAATTGATTCTACCCATTTTATGAGGCGTCATAAAGTTTCTCTGTATGATCATCCTGTCCAAACTCAGTTTGTGTTACATATGGAGGTTTCTTAGCGACGTTAACCTACTTGAAATTGCTGTGTTATAATCTTTTGTGTGTTTTTTATGTATATGAGTGTACTGCCTACATGTATGTAAGTGCACAAGTGCACTCATGCCGTGCAATGCTCACAGAGGTCAGAAGAAGGTGTCAGATCCCATGGAACTGGAGTTACGAACAGTCGTTAGCTGCCGTGTGGGTGCTGGGAACCACACCTAGGTTCTCTGCAGGAGAGCCATCCCTCCAGCCCCACTTGTAGTCTTAGCCCTCTATGCTTCCTGATAATGTACCCTTTATATGTATGTTTGTCTCGCCTACAGAATACGTTCCACAGGGAGAGGTTTTGTTAGTGTGACTGTAATATTCCTGTACCTAGAATAGTGTTCTATAGATAGTAATTAATCAGTATTTTGAATAGAGAGAAAACCTGGCTTTTACATAACATGCGGAATGCTACGTCGTGGTTCAAGGCTTGTGCCTTTCCCAGCAGACTGTCTGGTTCCTCCACTTCTACTCCACTGGGTTAGGGAGTGTGCAGCCCAGTCCTGACACTTACCCCCAAACCCAGTTTCCTTGTGGTTTAGTCCTGACCTAAACTCTGCTTCTCTCTACTTCAACACTACTGTTTAAAAGCAAACATCTTTGGCTAATTTACTTCTTCCCCTACGTACTACCAGTCCCCTTAAGCCTGCACATGGTAGATTGCACCTGATAAAACAGATGCTGTGTGCAAATCAAAACAAATGGAGAGCACACTGTGTATTTTGGCAACGTTCCTTTCTTCCCTTGCCTATTTTTAAAACAGAGCTTTCCTAGGATATAATTTCCTGTATGGTGTGGCTGATACGGCCTACTTAAACATTCTGGGTCTTGCAGTAATTGAAATGCAAGCTTACTGGAGAATCAGTATGGTTTTTGCTAAGTTTTTCAGGCTCAGCTCCTACATCTCATGACTTGAAAATGGAGTGTTTACTTCCAAGTCATGTGTAATTGCTGTAGCTTTTCTAGGAAACCAGTGTTCTTGTTCTAAGAACGTTGGAGACAGCAGCAATGAAAAGATTGGCCAAACAGCACTTGAAAGTTCAAATCAAACATTTGGTCCTGAGATGCTCTGTGAGCCAGAACGAAGGAGGCAAAATCCTCTGGGAGGTGACTCAGTAGCAGGCCCAGAAATGGCACTCTAAGTCTACTGCGTGTTTAAAGTGACCTCATTTTGACTGAGTGTGTTTAGGTGAGATAAATGAACAAACAGAATGTGCCAGTTCTATGGTGGTTGTTTAGTGAAATCTGAAGTTTTCTTGGGTGGAGATAAAAAGGGGCAAACTTGGGTTTGGTTTTGGTTTTGTTTTGTTTTTTTTGTCTTTTTGAGACAGGGTCTCCCTGTAGCCCCAGCTGTCCTGGAACTCACTATGTAGACCAGGGGGGCCTTGAACTCACAGAGATCTGCCTGCCTTTGCCTCCCGAGTGCTGGAATTAAAGGCGTGTGCCACCACGCCCGGCCTGCTTTTAACTTTTTAAAAAGTCAAATAAGGGACCCATTAGATGACCCAGTGGGTCAAGGCACTTGCTGCCGAACCTACCACCTTATTTAAGTCCCCAGTGGGGATTGAACAGGGTGAAAGGAAAGAACCAACTCTTACAAGTTATCCTTTGAATTCCACACAGACAATGGCATTTGTGTGCAGGCACGCACACGCGCACACACACACACACACAATTAATTAACACATGTATTAGTTACTTTTCTCTTGCTGTGATAAAACACTGTGACCAAGGGAACTTATAAGAAGAAGAGTATTTGAGCTTACTGTTCTGGGTTCCAGAGGGATTAGAGTCTGTCATGGCAGGGAGGCATAATGAGGTGGCCAGAGGAAAAACAGAGCTCTCACATCTTCAAGCAGGCACAAGACGCCCAGAGCAACTGGAAATCCCAAGCTTAAGAACTCTAATCCCACCCCCAGTGATGTGCTTCCTTCAGCAAGGCCACACCTCCAGATCCTCCCAAAATAGTGTCACCAACTGGCAGACAGAACATCCAAATACTGGAGTCTATGGAGGGCATCTCATTCTCTCTCATTCAGACCACCACAACACATAAATATGTTTTTTAAAGTCTGTTTTCCAAGGCTTATTATGAAACTTCAGTTTCCTACCCTCCCATAGCCAACGATTTTCTGTTCTTCTGTCTGGCCCCTGTACTTCTTTCCATATTCTAAGTAACACGCTTACTTTGCTGTGTCAGTGTTTTTCAAGTGGACATCATAAACTGACATCTTTCATGGGAGGTGGTTAGAAATGACCCACTGTAGGCAGACCTCGTTTCCTGCCCTTGTAGCCTCCATGTCATTACAGCATAATTTGGGTTTGATCCTATGTTACTTAGACTACGTTCTAAAGACACAATAAAATGTGCAGGTAAGAGCACAGCATCTGGAGGCAAGAGGATCCCTGGGGCCAACCAGCCTAAAACAAATAGATAGATAAATAATTCCATTGTTTTAATGAGGTTTCTAGAGGGAGCGGAATTACACATCCTTACCCAGATATTCCGATCGGCTTGGTGATGGCTTGGTGATTGGGGTAGCTGTCATTGAATTACACTGTGACATTAAATGGGACACAGCATTAGCATTTACTTTTAAATGTGATGTGGTAGGACGTGGGTCTTAAAGTAATACACATTTATTCAACCCTTGAAAATAATTCTAAAATTTAATATTAGCTAGAGTTGCCTATAGATACAGCATTGGTGTTTGTTTTGTTGTTTTTTTGAGACAGGGTCTCACTGTGTAGCCTAACCAGCCTAGAACTCACTATATAGACCAAGCTAGCCTCGAACCCACAGAGATCTGCCTGCCGCTGCCTCCTGAGTACTGGGAGTCGTAGGCCACCATGCCTTGCTGTAGACCCAGGTTTTTGTTTGCTTACCCATTTGCATCACTTTTGCATAGGGCTAGGACTCACGCCCATGGTCTCACACACTAGACAAGCACTCTACCTCTGAACTGAACCCCCAGTCCATAAATATCAATCACCTTGGGACCACTTGTTATCTTGAACTAAATGGCCTTATATGATATGATGATGATTCTTTGCAGAACTGATTTTGGTGCACCAGTGTACTTATACATAATGTGTATCTGTATATATAACTCCTCTCCTGAAGTCATTGATACTGTAAGAATCAAGTGACGAACTCTTGTTTTCTAACAGCAATGCCTTTGTGACCGCCATGGGGTCATTACAGCAGATGAAATTTTAAGAAGCAACCGCTAAATGTGAATCAGATTCTGTAATTGTGGAATTGAAGACAAATGTCTAAAATAGTTCCTTCTAAAGTTTAGAATGTCAATTAGTGCCATTCTTGGCCTTTAGGAAGTGAACGGAGAGTGTTCCCACGAGTTCCCTGAGCTGCAGCCACCCATCCTTCTCAAACATCCAAAATGCTTTGGAAAATGTACACATGGAAAACATCCCTGCAGCCTCACTGACCCTCAGAGGCCACGTCAGACTTTTGCTGGTGTCCAGGAAGAATTTTACCAACTGTAGTGCCAGTGGAAATGGATTTTTCAGAGACAGAAACAGTTGTTTCCATTAAAGGAAGTGTTGCTGCAAAGAAAATTGGAACAGGGCCTGGCCACCTCCGCCCTCGTCCCTAGTGATGGAATAGTTGAAGGTCATAAACGTTCCAACCACCGAAACACTGATGCCTCCAGCCTTACTTCAGGGAGGAACACACTCAAAGGTAGGAAGGAGTGTTCCTCCTTCCCTGGCTCTTCAGACACCGTCATCTTGCCGCTTGGAAGGAAACATCGCAGGTTCCAAAACAGAGCTCAGAACTGACTGCAGGAAAGCAGAACACAGTGGTAGAGCAGTTCAAAAATGAAGGGTCAGCAGCACATATCACGGCCTGTGTTCTTCAGTGGGAAAGCCTTAAACACTTTGTTGTGAAAGGGAAGAAAGAAAACTAACTAGCAAAGCAAATATATATATTATTAAAAGCTCTCTGAATCAGTGCTAGGTGGTACACACCTGTAATCCCAGCACTCAAGAGGCTGAGGCAGGAGGATCATGAGTTGGAGGAAAGGCTGGAATACATTAGCAAGACCCAGTCTCAAAAGAAATGAGGGGCTGGAGAGATGCTCAGTGGTTAAGAGCACTGGCTCTTGCAGGGGACCTGAGCTTGGTTCCCAGCACCCACCCCTGCTTTTTTTATTTCAAGATTTTTTTTTTTTTTCGGTCTTTAAGTGTTTGCCTACATGTGTGTAGGTGTATCATGTGCATTCAGTGCCCATGGAGGCCAGAAGAGGGCGCAAGAACTGGAGTTCAGGAAATGGGCAGAAAGAATGTAAGAGCCAGAGGGACAAGACACCTGGAACTGGACTTAGCGGCTGTGTGAGCTGCCGTGTGGGTGCTGGAACCGAACCCGGGTCCTCTGAGAGACAGCCAAAACTGGAGTTACAGATGTGTGCGTGAGTGCCGCCGTGTGGGTGCTGGAACCGAACCTGGGTCCTCCGAGTGCAGCCAGTGCCCTTACCGCAGAGCCCTTGCTCCAGCCCAGTTTTTAAATACATTGAAATACACTTTAGCTTAAGCTTTGTATGTCTTTTGTTTTTGACTATCAGAATGGTTTTTAAGTAAAACAAAATAAATCATTTATTAAAAAAAATAACTCACATCCAAACTCCGTGGGTAAAATGGAAAAGAATCTCTAAAAGTCATAGAACTACTGAGTTAAGACCTTCTCAAGGTTTCCAGTAAGTCGGACTTTGCAGCAATTTTATTTTTTTGACAAGGGCTCATGGATCTCAGGCTGTCTGAAAGTGTACCAAGGATGACCCCGAACTTCTGATTCTCCTGCCTTCACTTCTGGGTGCCAGGGTTACAGATGTGGGCCACCACACTGGTGTGTGCAGTGCTGGGTCCTGCATATGGAACCCAGGGCCTCACGCATGCTAGGCTACCACTGTATCGACTGAGCTCCATTGACTGCCCACATCCAGGAAGATCTGGGCTCTTGTGTTGTGTAGACAACAAAACATTCTTAATGGAGTTTGGGAAGAGAAACCTGTTCCCTCCATTGTACAAAGCTGTTCTCTGCTTACTGCTGGCCATGAGCACGGCCTCTGAGATTGGTCTAAAAGACTAACTCCTACTTTTTTGAGCCTTCCGTTGTGCTTTGTCGGGGGTCGGGGAAAGGTGTGTTTGTTTTGAAACAGGGTCTGCCTTGTAGCCCAAGCTGTCCTGAAACTCACTATGTGACCCAGACCGGTCTCAAACTTATGGCAATGCTCTTGCCTCAGCTTTCTGAGTCTGGAATTGCAAGTATGAGTCACTGTGCTCAGCTCTTCATAGTTTGGGGGCGGGGGTTATTTATTTGGTTTGTTTTGTTTTGTTGGTCTTTTTGAGACAGGGTTTCCCTGTAGCCCCAGCTGTCCTGGAACTCACTATGTAGACCAGGCTGGCCTCTGCCTCTCAAGTGCTGGGATTAAAGGTGTGTGCCACCACACCCGGCTTATTTGTTTTAATGATAATGTGCTTATACAGTGTACTGAAAAAGCTGCATTTTTTTGAGAATTTTATACATAAGTATTTGCACTATTTCCATCCCTCCCAGTGTCCCACCAACTCCTCCCGTGTCCCCCCATTTCCTCTCAATTTCCTGTCCTCTTCTTTGATTTTTATTGTTATATAGATACATTTATAAATATACAAATAGTGGGGCTGGAGAGATGGCTCAGCACTTAAGAGCACTGACTGCTCTTGCAGAGGACCTGGGTTTGATTCCCAGCACCCACATGGCGGCTACAAACCGTCCTTAACTCCAGTTCCAGGGGAATCTGAAGCCCTCTTCTGACTTCCGCAGCACTGCACAACACGGGTGCACTCACATACATGCAGACAATACACTCATACCCATAAAATAAAATAATAAGTATTCAAAAAAAATAAATATACAAATATATATGTGTATACATGTGTGTGTGTATATATATATATATATTCTAAAATTCACTGAGTCCATTAAGTGGTGCTGTGTGTACTTGTGTTTAGTGCTGTCCATTTGGTATTAGATAACCAACCTCTCACAGAGCTAATCCCTGCAGAGACAGAATTCTCCCTCCCACAGCATCCATTGGTTGCCTGTAGTTCATCTTGAGGTGGGACCCCATGACATTCCCCCATCCACCTTGGCATGTCAACTGGCTTTGTCATTTTACAGATCTAGTTAGACTGCCGTCCTGGGGAAGTTCACTGGTGCGGCTTCCCTATCAGGTCTGAAATGCATTAACTAGGAGCAGGTGTCTCATCCCTCTGGCTCTCACTTTAGGTGCAGAGGTGCACTGTAGATGTGTCACTTGGGGCTGGGCACCTCACAGATACTTACTCTCTGCATTTGACCAGCTGTGGAACTTGATAATTATCTCCATCTGTTGTAAAAAGAAGATTCTTTGTTGAGTGGTGAGAGGCACACTTGTCCCTAAATACAGGATGTGCATTTACAGTATAGTAAGAGATTACATTGGTCTAGGAAATGACAGAAGCAGGTCCTTCTCTGTAGCCTCTTACCTCTTCAGTCGTGTGTACTTGGCTATGTTTGTAGTAAGAGCTGCATTTTCTTAAATATTTTATTATTTTTATTTTATGTGTATGACTGTATTGCCTTCATGTATGTGAGTGCACCCGTGTCATGCAATACCACGGAGGTCAGTAGAGGGCTTTGGATTCCCCTGGAACTGGAGTTAAGGATGGTTTGTAGCCGCCATGTGGGTGTTGGGAATCAAATCCAGGTCCTCTGCAAGAGCAGTCAGTGCTCTTAATTGCCGAGCCATCTCTCCAGCACTAGAGCTGCATTTTTAATGTTTACATTGATTATCCCACAAAGCTGAGTTTATCCTTTCTCCAAACCTGAAGCTGGTAT